CTATTTATAGACAATTTAGAAGAAGCCTTTTCTTCTTCCTTTGGAAAAACTTGTCAAACAAGTTAAACCAAAGTGTGTCAAGCAAGTTAAATTAAAGCTTGTCAAATAAGTTAAACCAAAGATTGTCAAACAAGTAAAGCTTTACTTCTCCTTTGAAATTACTTGTCATACAAGTAAACCTTATCCAACAAGTAAACTTTTTACTAGTCAAACAAGTAAAGCTTTACTTCTCCTTTGAAATTACTTGTCATACAAGTAAACCTTGTCCCACAAGTAAATCTTGCCAAACAAGTTAGCCTTTTACTTGTCAAACAAGTAAACTGGATTACTTGGAGAAGAAGCAACTAAATCCTAGTGTGTATTTTTCCAGTATCACACGCTCCTGTGGTCCCACCACAGTGTGACAAAATAATTAATTCCTAATTAATTATTCGCGAGTGATATAAAAAACCGATAATTCACGTTGTCTTACAAATATTACAATGATGACGCAGGAACTTATGGACCTATAATTCCGAACACCAATAAAATTAATAATTAATGAAACTCTTTAATTAATTAATTAATTCTATTAATTTCAAAAGTTACTCCACTAAAAATTTAGAATTAGACTCGAAATTATAGACATAATTTACTTCTAAGAACTTGAAGTGTCCATTTGATATAGTCACTACATATAGATCGATCCTCCATAAATAATTCATAATTAGAGTTAGGTAAAATCCGTTAACCTCTCTAATTACATCTTTATTCTTGAGTACCATTGATTCTCTAATGAATAGTATATTCATAAAATACATTCATGAATACGAGCTCGTTACTTATTCAAGTACCGAATCAACCATCAAGGGAATTATTTATCTGCTTCTTTAAAGAAGAATGAATGGATTCCATGTATATTAGCATTTTCGGTTATCAATTTCATCATGTTCCCAAGATACAAGGAATAAGATTTAGTATTTCGAAATCCGTACCGAGTAAATCAAATAACACGAATCCACAAATAGGAGTCTAATAACAACTCAGGATTGAGATCATTCTATATATGACCATCGGTAGACTCAAATTTGATTTTCTACATTTAATGAAAATTATCATAAAATCAAATTGTGTCTGGTTCATCAGGATCAAACTCTTCTTTTAAGTATGATTGGGCCTTGCAATGGTAGAACCTGGTGAACCGAGCGTACTACTTCCCAACCTTCTGTGCACCTTGTTTGTCTTATGATTTTTGCTACTTTCTTTATCAAAGTGATTGATATCAAAGAGAGTCTACTAAGTCTAGTCACTCAACTAATCTAATCCACTCGTGGAGATTGATACCTTCTCGTTGTAGAGTAACCGTTTACACACCTTCCCGGGCCAGTGTAGTGGATCTTTCCCATTATGACAGTGAAATGATCAAAAGATGCCGATTAGAAAGGCAAGGCCGAAAACTAGACTTAGTAGACTCTCTTTGATATCAATCACTTTGATAAAAAAAGTAGCAAAAATCATAAGAAAAGCAAGGTTCACAGAAGGTTGGGAAGTAGTACGCCCGGTTCACCAGGTTCTACCACTGCAGGGCCCACAGGTTCACCGAGTTTAGGACCCGGTCTCTCTTTCATAAGGGGTCTACATCCACCGGAATCTCAATGATATTGGATGCCTCTTGCTACGCCCCTTTTTGGGTAAGCTTCAATCCCGCATTACCCTGCATTTCACAAGCTTTATCGGAGCGTCAAAAGAGGACGCCATTCATAGCAAACCTCTTGCTAAAACTCTTTTCCATTCTCCCGCAGTATCTTCACCTAGGCAGTATCTTCACCTAATCCACTAATCTAGATTCTGCACTTATCATGATACATACCCTTGCGAACTATTGCCCTTTCTTGAGGAGTGTCTGTTCGTCCATGTAAAGAGGGGAGCCAACCAAGTTTGCAATGCTGCTTAACTCATCATCACACCAGTGTTCCCCACCAAGCCCAAGGAATCTTATCCATTTCAGGATCTCTTGGAGGGGATCCTTCTAATTGTGAATCCTAATGGTTTCGATGATAAGGGGTCTACCACCAACATACCAAGGGCCCAAGTTTAGGACCCGGTCTCTCTCCCCCACCGACTGGAACCTTATTGTGAAAAAGCCTTTGGAGTGAGCAATAGAATTGGTATTCTAGTGGACAAAAGTGTGAAGGATGACGTAGTTGTGTTTAAGCAAATATGGGATAATTATTATGCTCAAATTGGTACTAAGAAATAAGTTCATCTATGTAATTAGTGCTTACGCTCCACAAATAGCATTGGATGCGGAAACTAAAGTCAAGTTTTGGGAAGACATGGATGACTTAGTGTGTTGTATAGGAAATGAGGAGAGCATTTTCATTGGAGGAGATTTCAATGGGCATGTTGGTAAGGATAGGGAAAATTTCGAAAAGATCCACGGTGGTTTTGGTTTTGGAGCTCGAACGAATAAGGAAAATCTATTTTGGAATTTGCGTTGGGACATGATTTTATCATAACAAACACATTTTTCAAGAAAAGAAATTCTCACTTGATCACTTTTAAAAATGGGAGGAACTTGAGCCAGATAGATTATTTTCTCACAAGGTATAGAGAACGTTCTCTATGTAAGAATTGTAAAGTAAGTGATCTTAGATGTGAGTATTAAGCTTTGCTATAGAATGACAAAGATAAACTACCTCCCAAGAACTCATTGGTGGCATTTGAAGGGAATAAAGCAATTGGCCTTTAAAGAGAAGTTGTTAGATGAGGCTACTTGGTCATATATAAGTGATGCAAATACTATGTGGGATGCCATGGCCAGCTGCATTAGAAAAGTGACAAAGGAGGGACTAGGGGAATCTCGAGGTAAAGGCCCCCCAAGGAAAGAAACCTGGTGGTGGAGTGAAAAAGTTCAAAAGGCTATTAGGACCAAGAGGGATTTATATAGAGACTTACCAAAGTGTAAGGATGTTGAAACTTTTAATAAGTACAAGAAAGCGACGAAAGAAGCTAAGCGAGTAGTTGGTAAGGCTCATTCTACTTACTTAGATGAGGTATATAGGAAACTTGGAACTAGAGAAGGATATATCTAAACTAGCTAGGATAAGAGAAAGGAAGTTTCGAGACCTAAATCAAGTAAGATGTGTTAAGGATGATACGGATCAGGTTCTGACAAAAGATAAAGACATTAGGGAAAGGTGGAGGAGTTACTTTGAGAAGCTTTATAATGATAATCATGCGATAGAGTTTGACGATCTTAGGTCACAAGGAGAACCTAATGTGATGTATACAAGAGGAATCAGAGTCTCGAAAGTTAAAACTGCACTACGAAAAATGAAAAAGGAGAAGGCATGTGGGCCAGATGATATTCCAATAGAGGTTTGGATGATGTTAGGAGATGTTGGAATTGTGTGGCTCACTAAGCTTTTTAATGAGATACTAAAGAAGAAGCATATACCTGATGCATGGAGGAAAAGTATTCTTGTCCCCATCTTCAAAAATAAAAGAGATGTGCTGAATTATAACAATTCTAGGGGCATAAAGTTAATAAGCCACACTATAAAACTTTTGGAGAGAGTTATTGAAAGGAGATTAAGGGCCACAACAACCATCTTAGGTAACCAATTTGGCTTCACGCCAAGCAGATCAACCACAAAAGCCATTTTTCTTAAGATGCTGATGGAAAGGTATAGAGAAGCCAATACGGACCTACATATGGTCTTTATAGATTTAAAAAAGGCATATGATAGGGTGCCGAGGGAAGTTTTATGGTGGGTGCTAGAAAAGAGAGAGTGCATGTGAGGTATATTAAGGTAATTAAGGACGTGTACGATGGGGTGGTCACGAGTGTGAGAACTGCTGGAGGCTACACGGCAGAGTTCCCCATTCGGATCGGCCTTCATCAAAGATCTGCTCTTAGTCCTTATCTTTTCACCATCGTGGTGGATGAGTGTACAAGAGAAATCCAAAATAGAGTTCGTTGGTGTATACTTTTTGCGGACGATATATTTTTAGTTGATGAACATAGGGAAAAAGTTAACCGTAAGTTAGAACTGTAGAGATAGACTCTCGAGACAAATGGGTTTAAGTTAAGTAGGATGATAACTGGATACATGCAATGTAGGTTTAGTAAGTCAAGTAATCAGAGTGATGGAATTTCTTTAAATGGTGTGGAGATTGAGACTTCTAGGAAATTTAGGTACCTTGGGTCTATAGTGCAGTACGAATAAGATATAGAAGAGGATATTCAACATAGGATTAAGGCAGGGTGGGTTAAGTGGAAGAATGCTACGGGAGTTTTATGTGATGGCAAGATGCCTATTAAGTTGAAAGCAAAGTTCTATAGGACTGTAATCCGCCCAACTATGTTATATGGTAGTGAATGTTGGGCCATTAAGAGACAACATATATCTAAGATGAGTGTGGCAGAAATGCGTATGTTAAGATGGATAAGTGGCCATACGAGAATGGATCGCATAAGGAATGAAGTTATTCGTAGTAAAGTAGGTGTAGCACCAATAGAAAATAAGGTGCGCGAAGGCCGCTTGAGGTGATACGGGCATGTCTAACGTAGACCGCTAGAAGCACCAGTTCGTGCTTGGAATGACATTCTTATACCTAATACTATGAAAGGAAAGGGTGGACCAAGAATTACGTGGACCGAAATAGTTAGGAAAGACATTCTAGATCTAGACTTTCAAGAAAATTTAATTTCGAACAGAGCTGCGTGAAAAAGTGAAATCCATATAGCCGACCCCAATTAAATTGGGATTAAGGCTTTTTACTGTTGTTGTTTGTTGTCTTTCTCATATATTTCCGCACTACATCAGAGTATAATTAACAAATGTAACTCCTTAGCATATTTCAACAATAACAATTATCAGCAAAATAGTATGTTAATAGCATTTGAGGCTGGTGTGAGCCTTAAACATTTAAGTTGAGATATGGTCACTATCTCTTTCGTGAAGTGCTACAATAACTGGGGCATTTTATAAGAGCCAATGAAATAGACCACTCACTGTTGGCGTCTTAATATTGCTTCATTGTCCAAAACTGTTGCTGAAAGGAATTTTTCAGGCTTCAAGGATCGAAGGTTTTCTGCAACCCACTTTCCATATGTATTTGACAAGGCAACTCTTTTTTTAACCTCTGTATTTTCATACACCTGCCATTTGAAAGCTAATTAAGTTTATTGTACAATAATCTATACCTTTTCAAACAAAGGATGAAAACAATTTTGCAAAGTTGTTAAATAAAGGTGTCCAAGTACATACTAGATTTTAGGGCTTAAATTGATTATTGCAAACTTCAATACTAAAGTAATGCACCATTTGAAACTTTAGTTAAATAAGATATTGCTTCCCAATATCCGAAGAAATCATTGCCTGCTGAAACTGATTGGTCGTATAACAACAGAAAAGAATGTTGCAAAACAGCAAAAGGAAGAACTTTTGAACAAACCTGTCCGCTTGTTAAATCAACAGTTATCATCATTCCAGGACCAAGACGGCCTTTCATTATAACTTGGGACTCGTCCATAGGTACAACACCAACCTAAGCAATATAAAAAAAAATACTTTTAATCTTAAGCAGATTGAATGAACAAAAAGGCAGGCAACGGATTCATACTTCAAAACAACAGGACCTTATCAAGCAGTATTAATAAACAATGCTGCAAACCAAAACATCTGTTTTTCCATGCATATGAAACCAGATGGAATACTTTAACAAAGAAATAAATCTCACTACAATCAAATGGTGGGACAAATAAGATGCTAGGATGCTCTTTAATATAGATAATAACTCGCCAATGCATCAAGCATATAAAGAAAATCAATGTAGTTGATTTAATGAAAATTCTCATAAACACATAGTAAGTAGTAACCCAGAATTGAGATGACAAATGTCCTACTAAACACAGCTCAGCTTAGCTCACTTCTTTATGTTAAGAAAAGCACGAAAAAGCAAACCCATTGCAAACAATACATGGCTTGAAATTAAAATAAAGCCTGTTTCTGTATCTCATATGAAACCCCAGAAAACAGCATTGCCACAGTTGTCTTGTAACCAATTTTCACACATCAACATTCCACCAACCATAAAGAAATCCCAAGCAATAAAGAAACAAATCACACCTCGGATGCTACATAAACAACATTATCAGCTGTCCGCCAATACCTAGCCGGACGAAGCCCATTGCGATCAAGGGTTGCACCCACTGTTTTTCCGTCACTGTTCCATACCATAAAATAAATAAATAAATAAGATTACCCCCATTAGCGCCTTTTCTCGAATATACTAAGCGCTATGGTCCCAGCATAAATAAACAAAATAAATAACATTCATAATTGCATTAGCAATAATAGTTATAACAAGTTTTATATCACTCCTAATTCTAGAGCCTCAAAGACCATTTCAATTATCCATCGAAAATTTTTTTTGTCCAAGGACTGACACACAAAGCCGGGTTGTAGACTTTTATCACTAGTGACTATCAACCTCTTCTAACAAAATGGAATTTAAACAAAATAACTACCAGTCCTTTTAGATCGTAGGCTGCCTTTAAAAGGATTTTACCTGAATAAAAGTAAGGCAGGCCCATCCCAAGTCTCCATCTGACCCTTGTAATAATCATAAAAGTCAACCACCTAGGTTCATTAAAAAAATAAATAAATAAATAAAATACTTCAGTATCTTCTGCTTGTAATATTAATTTGAACGACATCAATGTTCCTGAATCAAAAGCAAAACAAATTTAAAGTCGTCCAGTAAAAAGGGTTCAAAATTAAACACAAAAAGAAGTATGGAAAATGCAAGCTAGGGAATGCAAAGTAAAGTTCATGAGATTAGGTAATTGAAGAATGAAAAATAACTTTTTGTAAACCATACATCCATTAACTTTAAATAATAACCCAAGAGTTTTATATAGAATGGAGGTAAAACTGATGGTCCACCATTGAAAGAAGAATTTTATCGATTGCAAATTCATGCCTAGTAAACAAAATCTCAAGTTCAGATACCTCAGGATACTTAATCATCAAAGTTGGGTGGTTTTTATATGCCTCTGGTACAAGAATCATTAAAGCCTCATCAGGACTACGGCCACTTCTTATTAGCAACTGAAAAGATATAAAACAAGTAACTAATGAAGAATGATACAAATAAATATCAAAACAATAATATGCAATAATCAGCTTCTGTGGAGTTTCATGGACAAGGGTAGAACTTTGATTTCACACAATTGATGAGTTTCGACCGATTAAGTTGACTTCATTTTCATCTCTCATAACACTCCATGCTTACATTCAAAAACTAGAAAAGTACAGTGCGTTTACAAAACTAGAAATATCAGATGAGAATGTAAAGTCTTCCAGAACACTAGTACTTTATGCATGGACAGTGGAACATGACTCCAAATTCATGCTATGTTCTTTATTAAAGACTGAAGAAAATGAGGCAAATTAAACTAGGTTTTGAAATCAAAGATAAAAATGCTATCTATATTAGTTTCATTAACCTATGAATAATAATAATAATAATAATTTCTTTAGATTACTTATTTTTTTCTAAATCTAGGTCCATTGAATATTATTTATCAGCACTATGTACCAAAGTTATGACAATATTAGTAAGAAATAGAAGGCTCGTACTTCTGCTGCACTGTCAAGATTTGCTGAATCTGACGCTTTTGGGTTGCCAAATGGACGAATTTCATTTTCACGACCACGCCATACAGGTGACTTCAATGAGGTTTCCCGTGATTGCATCCAGTTCAAGTTCCCCTGCATATAAGTTTGGAAAGGTTTTAAACTATTACTATGTGAGCAAAGTAGATCATGTTATTTCTAACTTCTAAAGTTGAAACTATAGCAACCTGTATGGTATTGATCTCTCCATTGTGACCAAGGAACCTCATTGGTTGTGCAAGAGGCCATCTGGGACTAGTATTTGTGCTATACCTCCGATGATAAATAGCAAAAGGGGACTTGTAAAGATCACTTTGAAGGTCAGTATAAAACAACCCAAGAACTTCAGAGCGAAGCATTCCTTTGTAAACTATTGTTTGATTGGACAAAGAACAGAAATAAAGCTCATTTCCCCAACTTTCTGATTGTGCTGCTTTTTCAATCAGTTTCCTGCATATGTACAATTCTCGTTCAATGTCATCAACATTCTCCTCTTTAACAACTTTTACAAATACCTGCTGCATGTTGGGTATTGTTTCTTTTGCATAGTATCCAACTACAGACATATTCACAGGAACAGGCCTCCATCCTAGAACTTCAAGACCCTCTTGTCTAAAAAGATTCACAATAACTACAAGAGCAATCAGAATTATGAGTCAAATAGCAGATTTTATGTACAATCAAAAACTTAAGAGCAATACCACAGTGACTGCATGGAAAGCCACTGAAATATGGACGGACAGACAAAAGCAAAGAAAGAAAGAAAGGTGCAAAAAGGAAATCACATTGTGCCAAGGAAGAGTTGCATATAAAGATGTAGAGAAACAGAAAGGGTGAGAAACAAGTAGCACATATTCACACCAAAATATATGAATAATCCAATTTGCACATTTAAAGATAAACATATTTGCATCAATTAGTATACAACAGTAACTTTAAAGCATTCCCCTGACATATTCCAAAGTCGTATTTTCACCAATTCTATGCTTTAAGATTTTTTAACTAGTACGACAAGAGAGACGCTGGTCGAATACAAAATTTAGCTAGCCCCCAAGCTAAAAGATCATCAAAAATACCAAGCTAGCATGTAGAAGCTTGAATTTCTGAATGCTAACAACAACATCACATGCTTGTATACATTAAAATACAAAATAGTCATTGCCCCGCAGATAATTCTAAGATGTTTAAACATATACCTTTTTTGGCTTCTTTCACAAGCTCATCATCCTGGGGGAGGAAAACCATTCCAACACCAGTGTGCAACTTATCAAAGGTAGCTATCCCTTGACTGTTAGCCCAATTGTTAAATAGATCCCAGGGAATTGATGTCATCACACCTGAACCGTCACCAGAGTCATTATCTGCTCCACAGCCTCCACGATGTTCCATGCAGCCAAGAGCTGTAAGAGCATCCTCAACAATTTGGTGAGATGCTATGTTATCCAAATTGGCAATGAATCCAACTCCGCAAGCTCCTCTTTCTGATATTATGTCTTTCAAGTCTGCGACCTGCCATGCATGAAATTCAGATTGTGTAAAGACAGAACCACTTGTGATATTTTATTCCTCAAGCGTAATAAATGAAGATGACAAATAGCATCTCCGTTTGATGGAAGAACAATTAACAATAAAAGGAGTACTACACTGAAAATAGGGCTCCATCCATGACACTTGTCACATTGTTCAACATAAACAACGTCAGAGAAACTAAATAACCAAGATCAAGTTTTATTCCCGAAAAAACTGCCTTAGAGTATATAAGCATATATACATATAATAAATAACTAAGGGGGCACAAGCGATAGGACACAAGTAACTAACATGAGCAACAAGATTAACAACATAAAGGACTAGAAAATCTAAAAACACTTAAATAAAGTTAAGAGTGCTTAGTTTTGTAAGAAACCAAATTTTTAGGGGGGGAGAGAGAGGAGGAGGAGAAGAGGAGGAGAAGAAGAGGAGGAGGAGGAGGAGGAAATAATTGAATCAATCAATCAAATAAAAATTATTGAAAAAATAGAGAGTAATTAGTTATCTCAAAGATAATAAATAAATAACAAATAGTTGAATCAATCAATTAAAAAAAATTATTGAAAAAACAGAGAGTAATTAGTTATCTCAAAGATAAATAAATAAATATAAATGGCCACTAAAAAATCATCCTTTAAACTAAGAAAACCTATTAACGGGTAAATGTGCATCATGACAATGAGATGCAAAGACTGTTAAAATTGCTCTTTTTTTTTTTTTTTTTTTTTTTTGCCTTTTTTCTTTTTATCTTTGTAGTCCTTCATTCAGCCAATAAAATCATCTATACAATTTTCAAAATAAATATGCTATCTTCGTTTTGTTTGGAGCAACCTCTCTACTCCCACATTCAATGACTACACTTGTTACTCTCTAAACAGTATGCTGCTAATCTTCAAAAGAAAGTCCATCGTGCCCACCACATAGAACTTTTCTTGGAGGATTTTCAAAAAAAATAAAAATAAATAAATGAAAAGAAAAATAAAAATAAAGAACTTTACTTGGAGGGCACTGAAAAAGAAATAATCCTAGATAGCAGCTTAATCATGTTGGAGTTCCATAATGTTACCCTGAACACTAAAGTTAGGTGTGTTTCCTATATTCGTCCCTGATTCTGAATCATGATTCATTATTCTTTACAGTGTTTTCTCTCACAAAAAATACACGTAAAACGAGAATAATTTTGAATCATGATTTTGAATACATAAACCAAACATCCTCTAATTCTCAGAAATATTTAGCCCTTTGAGCAATCAACTTTTTAGCTTATTAATTTTTTGTTTCTATCCAATGTTACAACTATAATATCAGAGTTCGAAAGCCTTGTTTGCCAAATACCTCAGAAGCACCTCTAATTTACAAGGCCACGCTTGCAGATGATTCAGACCTAAAAAAAAAAATCGCTTCTAAAATTCCAAATTATACAATTGGACTACAATTTTCAAAGGAATTTCATTTCTTATTAGCTTTTCAAAGGAAAGACCTGTGCTTTAAAGAATTTAACATACTGTTTGATTTGAAAAACCGAGCATTGTTCTCGTTTGATAGCAAAGTCAAAGCAGAGAAGCAAACTTCCAAAATGCCAAACAAGTAGTACATACATCAACCCACCAAACATAACAACCAAAAAAATTTATAAAAAAAAAAATTAAAAAAAATTTACAATTTAAACAAAAACAAACGAACAAGCCCCGTTCGTTTCGCGCGATTGAGTTAAGAACTTAGGTTAAATTCATATTCGGACAAATACAAAAAAACTGAATTTGAATTTTTTGAGAGAATAGTGTAGCAAAACACTCGAGTTGTAATTTGAATTAAGTTGTAATTCGAATTAAGTTGTAATTCGAATTAACAAAATAATAGGGGCTTAAGAACACGTTTGGTTCGAATTATAAAATAAAGCCGCTTCTGTTGCGAAGTAAAGCAATTGAAGCAGCCTTTTGACCATAGAATCAAACACAGCCTGTGCAAATGAAGAACCTAAAAGGTCCCGACAGCGATGATCGAAACGGTTACCTTCGGTTCTAAACCGGAATCGTCGGCTCGTTGGAGATCAAGAACCGCTTTGACCGACGAGGAAGACGCTCTCTTGGCGACGAATTGAGGAACGCCGCGAGCGAGCGGCGAAGAAGCTCCCAATTTCCTCCGAGTCTTCTTCGGTTTGCAGTGGAGCCCGACGAAATCGACGAGGAAGAGTCCGTTGCGGAGGGAGTAAGGCGGCGGAGTGGCGTTGGAGTGGACAAGTTGGGAAACGGGAGAAGACACCGACTGCGACGCCATGGCTGCCGCAGAGAGAGAGAGAGAGAGAGATTCAAGAGAGAGATTCTAGAGAGAGAGAAGAGAAGAGGATCGTGTGAATGAGAGAGAGAGAAGAGAAGATAAAAGGAGTTGTCCGGAGGCACAATTAGTACTACTCTCACTCATCACACAATCTCCTTTTCTCTCTTCTCTTCTGGGCGTCTTACTCTTATTTTACTACTACTAACATGACGACATCTTCTCTTTTGTTTCGATGTATGTATATAACACTCGCAGACGATTCTACAGAGCACGGTTTTTCTTCCCTGCTTTGCGATGCACGGAGATTGGGTTCCTGTTTACCGTTAACATTAATTTGACGGTTGTAATTCTCCCGTATTAAGGCTGGCAATTCAGATAGCGACACGACGACACGATTTAAAATCCGCAATAAGTTAACGGTTTTAGATTTACTATAAATGAGTTTGGATCATAATCAAGTTGACACGATTAACACGATTAATAAATAAGTTTGGTTAAGGTTGATTTTTTAACACGAATTGACACGATTAACTATATTTGGCATCTGCAATCTAATGATATGTGATGTAACATAAAAGTTTATATGACATATTAGAGACAAATAATGTGAATTTTAATATTTGTAAGTAAAATTCATTGACCAATAAACATGTTAAACGTGTCTTGACCGTATTAAATAAGTATTATTATATTAGTTATTTATTCAATATATTAATATAAACGGGTTATACGGGTTGACACGATTAACACGATTAATAAATAATTCGTATTTGGGTTGACATTTTACATTTTTTATATTTTTAATAAACAAGTCGTATTTTGATTGATATTTTCTTATACGATTAATAAATGAGTTGACATGACACGAATTCACACTCTTATTCCGTATTGTTGGAGGGGGCCACTAAGGAACACATGGACTATTATCGAGGAATAGTGATTCTTTTAGGAAATGATGAACTAATGATAATTCGAGTTTTTAATTCGAGTTGAGATGTGACTTTATGTGAGTATTTTACTATAGTAAAAAAGTTTGATGTGACTGTTACTGTAAGCTTTTTACTGTAACAAAACTCATATCGGTGAAATGAACGGGGATCTTATTAGTTTGATAATGTGCCCTTGAGAAACATTCATTTGTATCATTTTCATGTGAAAATTTAGATTTAAATTTTTTTAATAAATAGTAAGGCATCGTTCACTTCGCGGATTCGAGTTTTCAATTCGAGCTGAGATGTGACATTTTCTGAGAGCTTTGTACTCTAACAGAAAAAGTTAGATGCGGCATTTTCTAATAGCTTTTTACTATAGAAACCTAGAACTAAAAACTCGAATCGGTGAATTGAACGAGGCCTGAGTGATTTAGGGCGCGTTTAGAACTCGTTTTAAAATGATTTTATTTTTTTGTATGAAAATGAAATTGAAAACGTTTTTACTGTAGCAAAAATGTTCAATGTGACTGTTTCTGAGAACTTTTTACTGTAACAAAACTCAAATTCTAAACTTGGATCGGTGAAATAAACAGGGTTTTATTGGTTTGATAATGTGCCCTTGAGAGACATTCATTGGTATCATTTTCATGTGAAAATTTATATTTAATTTTTTTATAAATAGTAAGTGATTTATAGCGCGTTTGAAACTTATTTCAAAATGATTTTTTTTTTGTATGAAAATGAAATTGAAAACATTTTCAATCTCAGGCAGAAATTATTTTTGAAAATGCGTTTGGTAATTTTATCAAGATATTATTTTGAGTGTAAAAAATATAATAATGTCTCTCTTTCTCTCTCTGCTCGAGAGAGGAAAAAATGAAAACAAAAAATAAAAAACGACTAAAAGTCATTATTTTATTTTCTCTCATTTTACACTAAATTAAAAAATCGTTTTCATTTTTATTTTTTATCTTTATTGTAACAAACACTATTTTAGAAATATTTTTATTTTTTTCTCAAAAAACATAAAAAAAAAGAGAATTAATTCTAAACACGACCTTAAATTTTAACTTTCTAAAAGTGATTTATTCTCTCGCCAAAAAGGTGTTCATTTGTGCATTAATTAGGATGTGAATTTGTAATTATTTTTTTGTATTTATTTGCTCATGATAATAAGTGGAGATATTCGAATTTAATATGAGAAATTTGTGTGCTTCATATCAAACTCAACCAATAATTTAGAAATGTAATCTCAATTTTTTTTTATCAGCCACTTGACTAGTTTTTCAGTTATTTTCACTTCCATTTGCAGCTCTTGGTTTAAGACGTTACACATATAGTGACATACCTAATCTATCATCTTGATATGTTTTGATATGGAGATTAATTTTGACTTAAAATTTGGGAGGACGTTGCCCACAAGTGTTGGAAACTGAAGCTTGTGTAAAAGGTTCAAACCATAATATTCTGGCTCAAATCTTTTTTGGCTACAATGTTTTATATATCTCATAAAAAATTTATAAAAAAAATACATTAAACCAAAAAGTTATGTTTAAATCCTTAACCCAAACACACTACAAAACGGTCGCCCGTAAGGGCTACGGCCAATTAGGAACTAGGAAATATAAGGGTCCGATATGATATTCGAATTTAAGACCTTTATATTAAAAATTGATGTGGTTCATATGAAACTCAACCAATAATTTAGAAAATATAATTATTGATTATTGTTATAAGACACCGGTGATAAGCATCATTTATTAATAAAAAATGAGTCTCGCAGTGTGAGACTTAAAATAAGATTCACTTTTTTATTAGTGATGGTGCCCTAAACATTTTTTTTATTAGGCACTTAACTAGTTTTTCAGTTATTTTCATGTCCATGTGCGGCTTCTGGTTTAAGACATTACACATATGTTTTGACATAGAGGTTAAATTTGACTTAAAATTTGGGAGGACGTTTATAACGATTAGAATCTCCCACAGGTATTGGAAACTGAAGGGTGTGTTTGGCTGAAAGGTTCAAACTCATAATCTTCCGGCTCAAATTTTTTTTGGCTACAATGTTTTATATATCTCATAAAATTTCAACAAAAAAAAAAGGATTAATTACAAAAATTCTTTCTGAATTATACCCTTTATAACACTTTGCTCTCTGATTTTTAAAACACAACACCCGTTCTTTCTGAACAATGAAATTTCAACAAAAAAAGCCTCCTCCTTTAGGTTTTTACTGAAATTGACATTTAATTTACTATTTTAAAAGTATTTTAGTAACTCTATGGATTAAAATTTAATTTGAATTTAAATTAAAAAAATTCATAAAATTTTTTATTCTATAAAAAAAAAACAAAAAATTCATAAAACTTTTAACTTACGTTCAATCAATAATGGATGTATGATAATTAAAAGTTTAAATTTCAATTAGTTTTAAATTCAAACTAAATTTTAAACTATAGAGCTACCGAAATATCACAAAATAACAAATTAAATGTCAATTTTCATTGAAAAAACACAACAGATGGGGTTTCTTGTTAACATTTTATTGTTCAAGCATAACATATGTTACATTTCAAAGATTAGGGGGCAAAGTATTACAACATGTATAATTCAAGGAGAAATTTTGTAATTAATCTAAAAAAAAGATACATTGAACCAAAAAATTATGTTCAATCCTTAAACCAAACACACTAGAAAACAGTCGACGTTAGGGGCAATTTGGTTTTAGTTAGGAAGTAAGAAATATAGGATCCGACATGATGTGGACCAGTCATTATCCATTCGACCAGTCACGTCGGTTCCGATTAACACTCCTGATCTAGAGTTTAAATCTAACATAAAAAAAAGGGGATAAATTTGACGAATTCCTTAAACTATGTCATTTATGTCAACATACTCACGAATCTTGAAAAGTACTTGTTGTGCTTACAATGTAGAATGTGTCACCAAATTCAACCCCTAAACTTTGAAATGTGTTGTTTTTAGACAAGCATATTTTGATACACTTGAGGAAGTCAATTTTCTCATTTCCTTTAAATGTTTAACAGACCAAATTGAATTTCCTTTTTTTTTTGTTTTTTGTTTTTGAGCAACTGCTCTAAGAAGAAATTATATTTAAGATTTAACACAATTAATTTATTTGGTCTATCAAACAAATTATTTTATTTAGAATGAAAAGTATTTATTAATTCCTAAATGTTGCACTTAAGTTAAACCAAATGACAACTTCACAATTCCATTCAAAAAATAACACTCTTCAAAGTTAGGAGGTAAATCTAAAAAAGAATATAGATATAAGGCGAAACATGTACGTCTTAAAGTTTGGAAGAGATGTTCATACAAGTAAATATTTAGGATAAATTGGTAACTTTTATCCAAAAAAGAATAATGGTCAGCGATAAACAGTATAAATAAGAATAAAATATATATCAACTACCTACCATGATGTATATGATTCCATGGAAATAAATTATGTATATTTACACATTTGTACATACGTATATTACGTGTGTGTTAGGTTAATCGCATCACTCTTTGGGACCAACATTTTAATATTGAATAATAATTTTTGCTTAAATAATATTGAAATGATACAAACACTGAATCCTCTATTAAATTTTTGCTTAGAAAGCGATATTACAATTAATTGTGAATTTAAAAGTGTCATCCACAAGATCTACGTAACGAATTATCAAATGATATGCAGTTATGCACATTGCCATGGCATTTGCCATTTGGTAGGCAAACTTGTTGCATTATTATTATTGTTCTTGTTGTGGGGGTGTTTTTTTTTTTTTGGGCTAAAATTTTGTATTCCGTTGTGAATAGTATCGTGAGTGTTAAAGTTGCATTTTTTTTTTTTTTTATATAATTAGCATTTGACCATAGTAGACCTTAATACCATTGAAAAAAGAAGACTTTTAACATGTATTTACGTGTTGCTCGTTAAAGTTATGTCGGTAAAGTTAAGATTTTTTTTTTTTTTTTTTGGCTATGAAGTAAAAAAATAATGCTAATGATTTTAAAACATGAGAAAATCTCGGCACATTAAGAACGAGTACATTTAAGACTAGATTTGAAATTAAAAACCCCTCCTATTAAGATAATTTTTCGAGTTCTAAAAAGATATATTATCATCATTCACATAGAGGAAAAATCAACAACATGACATAGACAAAATTCTTACAGGATAAAAAAACTCATACCATTAGTAAACAACCTAACCAAGTGGAAACACATAT